CACACACACACACACACACACACACACACACACACACACACGGGGTTCAAATTTACACAAACACAAAGATAGGAGCTGTTAAGACTGAAGGAGCACACTGAGTCAGGAATAATTTTTTTTAATTCTGATTCAAACATAGTGTAAGGTAAGCTAGATATCAATAACAAAGAATCAGGAATGGCTTTTTAGAAGAAATTAGGTCTGACTTAAGTCCTGAAAGACAAATACAAATTATCAGAGGTTTGCCATGGAGCAGGGAAAAAGGATAGTTCTGGTTAGCTTTCTAGGCACAGGAAGCAACATATGAAAAGGCAGGAGAGAGCTGTCTTCGGGAAATTGCAAATACAATCTGTTCTGCTGTAACTCTGTAACAGCAGTCCTGAAGAAATCTTACATTTTCAAAAATCCGCTTATAAAAAAATTGTTAACAGAAAAACAAGTGTTGGGGACTAAAAAGTTTTAGATTTGTAACAAAGTAATTTTTCATATAGAAGCTTGTAACAGTGATTATCATGAGGAAAAGGACTAGGATAGTTATTCTGCATCTAATTTTATATCATTTGAATTTTTAACAATGAGCATATGTGTCTTTTATAATTAAAAAAAGTTAAAATTAAAAACGTGATATGCATGGCATAAACTGCTACATAATTGAGTAATCAGTCATATTATATGCAATTTGGGTTCTAAATACTCAATAAGAGAAATGTCATTAGTTTGGTATGTCTGGGCCATAGGGTATAAAGGTGTATAATGATTTTGCAGAGAGCAGAAAGAAACAGATCATTGACAGTTTATATTTTATACTGAAGAAAAATTTTTTTTTAAAATCCTGAACACAATGGAAATCCACTGTTTTATTTGAAACAAGGAAATGACATTATTAATTTCCTGTTGGCATACTGATGTATTTCAATACTCATTAACAGTACCCTAAGCTGTTTACATACATATATATCCTTGCCCTTTTATGATAACCAAACAGCACTGAATAGGAATACTGTTATGCAGTCAATGAAATATTTATTGAGTACCCGCTTTTGATAAAACCACTTGTATTTAGTTTTCAAATGCTGAAAGCTGTGATTCTTTTTTTCCTCCATGTTTTGATATCGATATATGCAACAAAGCCCTTCACGACAAGTCTTGCCTCAGGTGTTACTCTCCAATCTGTCCAAATCCTCAAAATGTTTCTTTTAGTGTTGGTATCTCCCCAGGAAGGAGAATATACACTTCCTAGACCCTCATCTAGTTTTACCTACTACAATATCAATATCATATCTGGCTAACTCACAGGACCCGTGGTCATTCTTTCCAGATGTCTACTTGGCTCCGTCAGACAGCATTCTAATGCTTCCACGACCAACTAGTTAGCTCATTTGAGCTATATAGCTACACACACAATTAAGCACCAAATAACGTTTCTGCTGCCAATAGTGCATCACTACGTCTTTATTAATGAGGAAGTACATTGTGTTTTTATTTAAAAATAAGTATACTGACCTTGAGAAAACTGCAGTTCATTAGAATACTACGTAATAAAACAAAACGAAACACTTATTAGTATCTGCCCCCAAAAGCCTGGCAAATAGGCAGCCCATTGCATAGGCTGTGGCTGACACCTACTGGTGTTCTATAATATCATTCTCTGCTTTCTACTAGCACATTTTTAGCAATGTAGCTAAATAATGTGAGGGAAACACTATACATTTTAAATTTGCTACGTCCATAGTTTATGTAAAGTGACTAAAAGATTGGACAACTATACATTAACGTCAAAATTTTTGTTACTCTGTGGGTAACTAGGCTCTAATGCTGGATTATAGATGCCAAACTAGTTTATCTTGATCCATAAAACTTACGGTCTACTAAGTTTTAAAATGTTTTTAAAATCCTGATAGATAAAAGTAATAATCTTAAAGTACCTTTTCAAACTGTCATTACTATTATTTCCTTCTCTTTTTTCACAATTTTGACAAACAAAAGTTTTAATAGATAAATAACCTATACCAAAATTTCTTGAGTATATATGCTTCGTACTAAACTACTTGAAAACTGTTTTCTAAATTAAGCCAAAATTCTCTTCATTAAATCTCACATTATCACTTAGCTAAACAATTTTTCTTTACAAATAATGTAAAAGTAAACTCCAGCAAGCACAGTTAATATAAAATTTATCTTTTGGATTGATGCTTTACCATATCCTTCTAAGAAAAACTTTCAACCCCTTTAAATAGGAATAAAATTGTGTATCTTAGAACAAATACAGTCACATGCTGCATAATGACACTTTGGTCAACGACAGACTGCATATATGACAGTGGTCCCATAAGATTAGTACCATATAGCCTAGGTGTGTAGTAAGCTATATACCATGTAGGTTTGTGTAAGTACACTCTATGATGTTCATACAACAACAAAATCGCCTAACGATGCATTACTCAGAACATATCCCCACTGTTAACCAACACATGACTGTACTTCAAATACTTTGCAAACATGTTCAGTGATATTCTCTGGTAGGCAGTGTGTACCACCTACTTCCTCTTCTTTTCCTTCTGGACACCTGGTAGGACTGCGCTTCTCTCTTCAAGCTGAGCATGGCTAGGTGACTTGCTTTGGTTAGTGAAATTACGTCAAAACGGAGGCCTTAAAGAGCTTGAGTACAAAAGGTCCACAGTGACCTTCAGATGATGGAAGCTTTGCCAGCCTTCGGCCCTGAGTGAGGAACCTGAGTCCCCAAGCAATCCGAGAGAATAATGCAGTGTGAGCAAGAAATAATTGTGCTGTCATAAACCACTAGATTCAGTGTTCAGCAACATTATTTGCTTATCTGCTTCATCCTGACCTCTAACAACACATTTCAAAGAAGTTATATGTTAAATACATTCCGGTTCTTATACCAGTTATAAAAAGTAGAATGAAGTTGGACCTCTACTTCACATCATTTACAAAAATTAACTAAAAATGGATCAAAAACTTAAATATAAGAGCTAAAACTATAAAACTCATAGAAGAAAATATAGGGACAAATCATGATCATGAATTTGGCAATGGATTAATAGATATGACACTGAAAACATGAGCAACAATAGAAAACACAGATAAATTGAAGTTCATCAAAATTTAAAACTTTTGTGCATCACAGGACATTATAAGAAAGCGAAAAGACAACATATAGACTAGGAGAAAATATGTGTAAATCATGTATCTAATAAGAGTCTAGCATCCAGAATATAAAGAACTCTTACAACTCAATTAACAAGAAAACAACCCAACTAAAAAATACGCAAAGGGCTTGAACAGACATTCTCTAAAGAAGATATACACGGGCCGGCCCAGTGGCGCAAGCGGTTAAGTGTGCGCACTCCACTGCAGCGGCCCGGGGTTCGCTGGTTTGGATCCCGGGCACGCACCAACGCACCACTTGGCAAGCCATGCTGTGGCGGCGTCCCATATAAAGTGGAGGAAGATGGGCACGGATGTTAGCCCAGGGCCAGTCTTCCTCAGCAAAAAAAAAAAAGAAAAAAAAAAGAAAGAAAAAGAGGAGGATGGGCAGATGTTAGCACAGGGCTGATCTTCCTCACAAAAAAAAAAAAAGAAGATATATAAATGGCCAAACAAGCACATGAAAAGATGCTCAACATCATTAGCATTAGGGAAATGCAAATCAAAACCACTTCAAAACTATCAGAATGGCTATAATTAAAAAATTTAAAAAAAAGAAAATAAATATTTGCAAGGATGTGTAGATACTAGAACCTTTGTACATTGCTAGCAGTAACATAAAATGGTTCAGCCACTGTAGAAAGCAGTTAGGCAGTTCCTCAAAAAGTTAAACATAAAATTACCATGTGACTCCACAATTCCATCTCCATGTATATACCCAAAATAATTAAACCAGGTACTCAACCATGTACGTGTACCCCCATGTTCATATTCACAATAGCCAAAAAAGGTGGAAAC